ACAAGGGCAGAAGTAGGTTTGAGTAGCAGAATTCAGCCAAACTGGTGTTAAATCTAGATACAAAAAGCTGGAGGAAAATCGTAGACAATGATCTTGACCTGGCGCCATCCACACTTCCAGAATGAACAAACTGAACCACAAGTAATAGGCCATGGCCCTGTATACTAAACTGAAGTGCAGGCTAGGTACGATATAAAGTAGAAATACTGCAGGCTCTGCCAGGTTTACCTCGAGGATAAAGTAGTTCTAGGTTGGTTATGTGTAATAGTTATATCAAGAAGAACTGGTTTCTGGAAGACTGAAAAAATAGTGCTAATTATGGGAAGGCCTTGGAGTATATAGATGCAGAGGGTTTAAAATGGGTAACCCTCTAGTCAAGTTGCAGGTATAGCAAATAGTGTAGAATCTAGTAATAGGCAAACTACTTAAATAGATGCTCAAAAGGTGCAGGTATGGCTAAATATATTCTCCAAATATGTATAATAATGTTCTTACATAATAAAGCACAACACAACCAAGAAGTCACCTTAATATCAAAAAAAATATATATATTTTTTGTTAATTTGATTTAATCAAATCGAATAAATCTATAATTTAAATTTAATTTGATTTGAATATTTGATCAAATCAAATCAAATCAAATCGAATTGCGGAACTCTAATTAAAGGGACCAAGTTTGTATAATAGGACTTGTAGTAAGAAAAGAAGTATTTTATAAACTTCTTTTCTTGTTTAATCCATCTTGCTTTTGAGCAAATTTGCTATCTGTCTGTCAGTAGAGTTAGTTCTTCCACATATAGAAGTTAAGATCCTTATATAGGGGATGGCTAAAGCCAGATGTATTTATATGTTTTTTAATATTTAATCAAAATTAGAATAAGGGTTGGCTAGTGGTTAAGGTTAGAGCAAAGCTTATAGGTAAAATTGCCTTCCTGACATTTTTTATTAGTGCCCCGAGGTAGGTTTAGACATTCGTTTTCTTTATTTTTTGTGTTTTTCACTTTTTTTCTTTGTTTTTATCTCGTCGGGCTGATCCGGGTAAATCAAAATTTATTATTTGATTGGCTGTTAGTCACGTAAACACACCTGGCTTTAGACAACCCCCTTATATATAGAGTATAAGAAGGATTTAGTTAAATCTTTTATGATTTGTTTCTGAAGTTTCGTAAGTTTTTTATTAATCTTTGAGATCTTGTTTTCTGGAGCTTTTGGCTTTCTGAAGGCTCTTATAATTGACTGAATTCTTAGCTTTTATAGGTTCTACTTTGATAGTTTTTTAAAAGATATGATTTTTATTATTATTTTTTTTTTTAAAAGTTTATTTTTAAAAGAATTCTTATCAAACCTCTAGTTAGAAGGTTGATTGATCTTCTGTCTTTTAGCCAGAGTGCATTCAATTAATAAGTAGTCTAAGTTACCAAAAAGCAGCTTTGAAGATGATATGAGATGTTTATAGTTCTTATCTATAAAGATATAGTCGAGTCTAGTTACTATTGTTTGATTGTTTTGAACTCTTTGATAAAATATGAGAAAAGGTTTTTGCTCTGCATATATAGCAAAGTCTATATAGTTATTTACTAGGTTTTTAAGTTGAGTTCTGATATTGTCATTTTGTAGTATAGCTTGGCTTATTCTGTCTATAGTCAGGTTTAGATTTGTATTAAAATCTCCTGCTAGAATATTGATAGTATTTTCTTTGTATTATGGAGACCACTTGTTAAAAAAAGCTGTTCTATCTTTTATATTTAGAGATGCATATAGGTTTGTAATTAAGAAAGATCAACCTCTATATATAAAGCTTGTAAAGATTACTTTTCTTTCATATAGAATCTTAGTATTCTGAAAATTTATTTCTTTTCTTTCTACCAATATAGTAGTCTTGTTTGTCTAAATTGATTTATAAATCTATTGTTTCTTAATAAAGATTTGTGTTGTCTGGTTATTTAGATTTGTTTCTTGTAATAGTATTAGGTCTAAATTATAAGATTTTAAAAGTGTCATTATTTTTTGTCTTTTGTTCTAATCATTAAATTCTTTTATATTTAAAGTAGCAATTTTAATTATTGCTTTAGTTATTAGATATTATAAAGACAAGTATGTTCTTATTAAGCTTTTGGAGAATTTTTCTCTGTTCATCCTTTCTTGTATAGAGCTTGTCTTATTGTTACTTGCTTATGTATATTTTGATTTGTTTGTTTCTTTTTTTTCTTTTGTAGAATACAGTTATAAAGTCTTCTTCTATTAGAATTGCTAACGATGTATTTTCTTAAAGAGGGTTATTTTCTTTGTTATTATCTTTAGAAGATGGGCCATCTAATATAAGCTCATCTCTTGTTATAAGTTCTGCTTCTGATAAAGTGGTTGCTTGTTTAGCTTCTTTCTGAATATCTTCTATTTCGTCATCTGTGCAATGAGAGATATTCTTTATTTTTTGCTCATCTAGTGTTTTTATACTTATTGCTTCTTCTTTCAATTTCTCTTTCTCTTCAATTTCTAAGAGACTTTCTATTTCTTGAGCTGTTTTGCTAAAGTAGTCTCTGTTTTTTTGTCTTGGGGGTTTCTTTAAACTCTTAATAGTGCTGTCTTAATGCAACTGACTTTTTGAATTGAGAGCATTCTTTTTTATATGCTCTTCTTGGTCACAGAAATAGCAAACTTTAGGAGCTACCTTCCATTCAGTTATAATTTTGTTGTCTCTGAGATAGGTAAAGTGAGGAATTCATTTTTCTAAATCTCTATCTTCTGTTGTATCAAAAATAACAATCTATTGATCAGTTAAATATGGTGTTTTCTCAATTACTAGTGGTTTAATTGAAGCTATTTTGCCAAAATCTTGAAATATATCTTTGATTAGTATTGTTATCTCTTCTTTTTCTATTAGTAAAACAATTCTTAAGCTTTATTAAGAGGAAAGACTTGCATGAGTCTGTTGAAATATAACCAAAATATGATTTGTTTAAAATATTGATACTCTTGGCCACATGATGACTAAGAGTGTTTTTGTTAGAAAAGATAATTTCTAAGTATATGATTGTCTTTTTTTAAGTATTGCTTTGCTGCTATAACATCTTGTTTGACACTTTTATAAAGTGAGATTATTATTTTATTGAAGAAGCTTTGAATATCTTGTATTTCAATAATTAATACATTCTTGGTTCTTATTTGTTCTCTAGAAAAGAAGGCTACATAAATTGATTAGCTCCTTTTTAGTTTTGCAAATAGGCTTGACCACTTTTTGTTAATTATATCTCTTAGTTGACTAGTATCTGCTTTAGCTTTTTCTTTTGAGATTGAGTTTCCAATATATAGGTTATTTTCTAAGAATTTTGTAGCCTCTGATATGTTTTGTTCTATTGGTTGTTCTTGATCTATAGTTACGTAATCTTGCATGTATTCTGTAATATGGCTTGTTTTGTTGTTGTTTTTGTTTTTATATATTGATGTGTTTGTAGAGGTTAAGCTTTGGCCCTCTTCTTCTAGAGATACTAGTTCCTTCTAGCTAGTATTTTTTGTAGTTGTTTTAATTGCTTGTATTAAAGTAGCTGTATTTGCAATAGTTTCTTCTCTTTGTTGTTGTTTTGACATGCTGTTTATTTTTTTTTATTCATCAAAGAGAAAGTTTTGTATTTTTAGTTTTTTGTTGCAGGTTTCTTGTATTCCAACAGGAATATATCTTCTTTTCCTTGATACAAAGGCTAGTGTCTTTGTTGGGTCTTGTTTTAGGTTGTTTGTGAACTTGTATTGAGTAGTTATTATATTTTTTGTTTATATTCTTTTCTTTACAAATTTGTATGAGAAAGAATTTGTATCAATCCTTAATCTAGATTTTAAATAAATCTAGATTTAATTTTTTAAATATCTATATAGATATAATATAAATCTGAATATAATATATAAATCCAAATAAAAAATAAATCCAGATAGAAAATAAATCTAAATAGAAAATAAATCTTGACATTTTATATGATTTTATTTATTTTTGTTATAATATTTTTTTATATAAAATTATATAATCAGTTGCAAAATATCACCAAAAAACTTTATACAAGTTATTCTGTTATAGTGAACTCTCATTATAGTATAGTGAAGATAAATTCCAAACCAGTCTATATAAAAATTCTTTCGATATAATGAATTTACTAATAATCTTCTGATATAATACCTTTTTTAAAAATTTTTACTATAGAATAAATCACTTCACTATAATGAGAATGACTTGTATAGTTATATTAACTATCAAATAATATTATTATTAAATATATATATAACAAATAATAGTTAATTTTTTTTTATCAAATTTAATTTTACTCATATACTGCTATATAGTATATAGAGTAATATTAATTCTAACAAAAAAAATTAATAATTATGTTTTGTTATTTATCTAATAATATATGTATATCCAGATTTTGATTTATTTATTTTTTTTGTTAATTAGCTTCTTTGAGCTAAGTTTTTATTAAGAATTAGTTAGAGAAATTATCAAGAACCTTTATATTAGAGAGTATATACTAGTTATACATATATTTTTAATATTTATTTTAAATAGTCTGTTTATATAGATTCTATACTAAATGCTATACCTATAACCCAACTACGAGTTTTATCTATTTAAAATTTCTGTAATACAATTCTACTTGTCTTACTGGAACATCTCTTTTACAATCATTTGTTAAAAAATCTTTAATACTTTTTCTATATCTTTAGAACTAATTTATCTTTGAGGCTTCAA